ATAATTATTAATTCTATTATTTATTTGTTTTGCAATAAAACTTAAGTATTATATTTTTATATAGAAATATTTAGTTATTATTTTAATAGTATAGTAACCAACAAAAAAATAAACTAAATTAAAAACATAAACAAAGTTTATATACTATTTCAACAAAAAAAAAATATTGATTGATTGATAAAAATTAATAATAAATATATTTATACAATCTATTTATTAAAATATATAATTTTTCAAATTTAAATAAATAATATATTTATCATAAATTCAATGATAATATTAATTATTTTCTTTTACAGTGTTTATAGTAAAAAAAATTAATAACAATAAATTTTATACATTTTTTTTAATACACTATAGTTAAGTACTATTTTTTTAGAAAAGTGTACGTAATATTAAACATTACTAAAAAGTATTTTGTATTATTTGTATACAAAAAATAAATAAAATAAAATAAAAATACACATAAAAATTATTAAACTGTACTAAACTGTATACATTATATAACTAATTGTGTATAACTTATAATTAGTTTATATTAAATTTTTAATCAATAAAAAAATTTTAAAAGAAAATATATATAACAGTAATTATTTAGTTATTTTTTGGTTAATTGTTTAAATTAAAAAAATAAATGGAAAATTTAATCAAAAAAATTATAGTTAATATAATAATAGTTTAATTATTAAGTAAAATTTTTTGTTATTGATTATTTTTTTTAAATTAAAAATATAATTATCTATCTACCTAATCTTAATTTCAATGTATACAACTAGAAATATAATAGTATATTCAATAATTAAAAATCTAAATAAATCAGCTAGATAATCAAATTTAATTTGTTTATGTTGATCATCAATTAGTAATTGATCAAATTTTCTAGTTTGAAATTTTCCCAATGTTGGTGGTTTACCATGTCTAGTTTGATAATCATTGAGCTTGATTGTTTTGTAAAATAATCTCAACTGGGCTAGCCAACTGTAGATGCCGGACTCTAGTGTTATTTTTAATCTATATATTAATTAAATTAAAATTAATTAAAAATTTTAAAAAATTATTTAGCTAGCTACATTTTGATTATCTTTAGTCTAATTGGTGTCAGCTGGGCATTGACCGTATAGAATCTATAGAGGGTAGCATATTTTTGTTGGCCCAGTGCCAGCGTTGATCCCAGTCCACCATGTACGCCTAGTTTGACATTGATTATGTAATCATCGCCCAGATAGACAACTTGTCTAGTTTGTAGTTTTTCCATGAAATCGTAGCTAAATTGTTTCTAGTTAAAAAAATAAATAAATTTAAGTTAAAAAATAAATAAATTTAAGTTAAAAAATAAATAAATTTTCAATTAAAAAATAAATAAATTTTCAATTAGAAAAAATAAATAAATTTTCAATTAAAAAATAAATAAATTTTTAAGTTAAAAAATAAATAAATATTTAATAAAAAAATTTAAAAAAATTAATTAACTAGCTAACCTCTAATTTATCTTGTACAGTGGTCACCCTATTAGCCAGATCTGGCCATTCCCATTTAAACAGATTATCAGTTAGTGATCCTTTTGTTGTTATCAGGGTCAAATTTTTTTCCTGTAAAACTTCCTCCAGGGTATTGAAACATTTGGGAACACTAGTCAATAGTTGTGTTAATATTTGATTGGAAAATAGTAACATCAATAAATAGGCTATAAATGACCATAATAATACAATAATATCCGGGTCCATTTTGTTACTAATATGTAATAGTAGTGATGTTAATTTTATAAATAAACCTATTTTATCAATACTTTTAGTAATATTATTATTATTATTGCTATTAATCAAATAACTATTATTATTATTAACTGTTACTAAATACTGTTGTTTAGCGCACAGGTATGCAAATACCGATATTAGTGCTAAAAATATTAATAACCAAACATTGGGCTCAAATATATCAAACAAGTGAAGTAAATGTTGTCTATCTAGTTGTAGGGCACTCAGTATGACCAGCCGGGGACTGGCAGTCAAGCTAACCAGGCTCGACAAGTTAATATTTAAACCGGGTAACATTAGCCATTTGTTTAGGGGAAATTCACGTAAATATAAATCAGCATGCTAAAAATAATTATTAATTTTTAAATTTTAAATTTAAAAAAAAATATATTACCTTATACAATGGCAATATTGATTTATTATTAAAATTAGCTAGCGTAATTTGATGTGTATTTCCAAATTTGCTAATTATAATTTTGACTAGCTCAAATTGATAGTAGCAAATTTTATTCTAGAATATATATGTATATAGGGGTTAAAAATTTTTTTAAAAATAATAAATAAAATTTAAAAATTTGTTACTTGTTGATTTGCTACGATAAGCAATTTATTTAAAACATTATTATTAGTAATATTAGCTAAAAAATTATTATTATTATTAATAAATTGTTTTTCATTGTCCAGTATTAAACAATGTTTTAAATTAGACATAATTTTATTTATTTAATTAATTTATTAATTAATTTTTTGACAAAAAAATAATATTTTAATAATCTATAAACATAACTATTTTTCTTAATAACAAACTTTAATAATATTATTATTTTATTTATTATACATTACATAGAAATCAATTATTTAATGTGAAATTTATTTATTTTTTTTTTTTGATGCATTTATGTTGTGATAAAAAATAAATAATTATATACTGTATATGTCTATTATATATATAAATTATATATTTTTCTATCATATAATTAAAATTATACACTTATAAATTATTGTTAATTCAACCTAATATTGATTAATTAATACTTTTATTTATAATAAATGTTAAAAAACATTATAATTAATAAATAGCATATGCATACACAATAACTATATTGTTAAAATAAATACATTTTACATATATATAGGCATTATTGGTTAAAAAATATAAATATATATATATATATAATGTTAAAATATATAATTATATATATATATATGTAAAAATATTAATTAAATAAATTACTAGTTACAATATTTTTTTAATTGGCTAATAAAATTGGTATACAATGTATTTCAAATTATAAAAGTCAATATAAATTGTTTACAAATAATATATTATATATATATATAATATTGAATATATAATGTGTATAAAAATAAGATATTTATCTATATATATATATATATATATATATTTAATGTAAAGATATTTAATAATATGTAATAAACAATATATTATATTATATTTTTTTAAAAATTGTTTAACATATTAACTTGCTTAAATAAAATATATTGTTTTTTTCAAAAAATCATTAATTATCTAAGTTAATATATAAATTAGATTTTATATGATAAAAATACTTTAATTTAATCACATAAATAGAAAATTAAAAAAAATTATTTATTACTAAATAATATATACAAATATATACAGTAAAAAAATATATACAGTATATATATAATTACTAAAAAAATAAAATAACAAATTAAATAATTACACTATACTAGTATAAATGTTTTAACATTTAAGTTAAAAAAATTAATACTTTCTATTTAGTTTTTCAATTTAATAATATATATTAATTAATTAATTAAAAATGGCTATTTTAATTAATTAAAAAAATCAAATTAAACATATGGAAAATTTTTATACATAATACAGTTGATTAGCCATTTAATAATTATAGCATAGTTATAAAACTATATAGTATAATAGTATATTGATTTTTGTGTGTTCAAAAAAATTTTAGTAGTTTTTTTAATTGTTTAAATTAAAAAAAAAACAACTACACCATGCTCAAACTAAAAATTGGTACATTGTCGGTACCCGTCCTATCGGTAACAACATTGCTAATTGTAACGGTAGTTATACTATCGATGTCGGCCGTCAATCAGGTAGATGCTGATGACGACGACAGCAGCACCGGCAGTACCACCACCACCACCAGCGCCTCCCTGACCACCAAAAAACAGGGATCACCAACAAAAAAAGGCCACAATCATCACCACAAAAAAGATCATCAAGATAAAAAGGAAAAAGTTAAAAAAATTGAATCGGAAAAAAATGATCTGAAAAAAGCTAAAAAATTGCTTGATAAACAAATTAAAAAACTAGACAAGGAAGAAAAAAAGATTTTGAAGCAAGATAAAAAAGGTGGCGGCGGAAAGGGAGGAGGAAAGGGAGGCGGAAAGGGAGGTAAAGGTCATCATGCTACTAGTACTGAGCACCCGGATCATCATGATAGTACTACACACGCTGATGGTGGTAGTGGTGCTGATCATACAACTACACCTGCAGCTTAAAAGAAAATTATCAAGTTAAAAAAAATTGAATTATCAAAATTTCCCGTTACAAAATAATAATACTAATTTAAATAATAAGATAAACATTTTGTTTTAATAATTTTTAATAAAGTATTTATAGTAAATATTTTGTTTTGTTTTTTTTCAAAAATATATAATTATCTAGTACCAATAATAACCTTGTATAAATCTAGTAGTAGTAGTAGTAGTAGTATAACTATTATGATTAAAATGCAACATAGTCTATTATTGTTATTATTATTATTATATACAGCAATAAAATTTTTTAAAAATTTTYGAAAATAAATAATAAATAAAAAAAACTGTAGTAAAACTAAACTAATAATTTATTTATAATTTATCTAAATAATAATTATTTTTATTAATTATTTCATACATTACATTTAACAAATACTAGTAGTATATAAAGTTTATTAATTTTATTGTGGATTAAAAATTTACTAAATTTTTATAATTATAATTATTTCTCTCTAATAACTTACACATCAAACTAACTAAAAATATTTAATACTATTAATATATATCATATAATAATTTTATAAAATCAAATATGTTTTACAATTAATATATACAGTAATACAGTATAAGTTTACATTTAAAAACTTGAATAACCATTTTTTTTAATTAATTAAAAAAATTAAAAATAAAAATAACTAAACAAAATAAACTACGACTACTACTTAGTATTATAATCATCATAACTAAATTATAATGGTCAATTTATTTTACACACTGGTGCTCTGGTATACCATATATGGTGTTGTTGTTTTCAGTGTACCCATAAAACGTAAAGCACCTGTATCAGTTACTACTACTACTACTAGTAGTACTAATAATAATGATAATGATAACTATGGTTCACCAATAATTCATTATAAAGGTAAACAGTATCCACTATTGCAGCATGGTGAAGATAAATTACGTAAAAAATCTACTAGAGCAGCAGCTAAAGCACCTAGACCAATTGTCAATTACAATAGTTTACCTGGTGATGATGATGATGATGATGGTAATGGTGATGCTAATGATTATGGTGGCCAACAACAACATTATAATGATGGCAAACTGTATCAACTATTGCAGCATGGTCAACATAAATTATATAACAAACATACTAGACCAGCACCTAGATCAATTGTCAATGACAATAGTTATCATGGTGATGATGGTTATGGTGATGCTAATGATTATGGTGGCCAACAACAACATTATAGTTATGGCAAACGTTATCCGCTATTGCAGCATGGTCAAAATAATTTGTATAACAAACCAACTAGACAAGTAGCATTTAGATCAATTGTCCATGACAATAGTTATCATGGTGATGATGATGATGATGATGGTAATGGTGATGCTAATGATTATGGTGGCCAACAACAACATTATAGTTATGGCAAACGTTATCCGCTATTGCAGCATGGTCAAAATAATTTGTATAACAAACCAACTAGACAAGTAGCATTTAGATCAATTGTCCATGACAATAGTTATCATGGTGATAATAATGATGATGCTCAAAATGATAATGCTAATAACGATGATGATGGCCAACAACAACAACAACAACAATATAATGGACCATGGATATATAGTAATGGCAAACGTTATCCACTATTGCAGCATGGTGAAAATCAATTATATAACAAACCAACTAGACAAGTAGCACCTAGATCACTTGTCAATGACAATAGTTATCATGGTGATAATGATGATGGTAATGGTGATGCTGATGCTGATGATGGTCAACAACAACAATATAGTGGACCATGGATATATAGTAATGGCAAACGTTATCCACTATTGCAGCATGGTGAAAATAACAAACCTACTAAAGGACCACAACCAGCACCTAGATCACTTGTCAATGACAATAGTTATCATGGTGATAATTATAATGATTATGGTGGTTATTTCAATGTTGATCACCATAATAATCAGCATCATCAACATTATCAT